TGTGCTGACAGCTCAGAGCCTGGAGCCTGCTTCGGATTCTGTGTCTCCCTCTCTCTCTGCCCCTCCCCACTCATGTTCTGTCTCTCTCTGTCTCAGAAATAAATAAACATAAAAAAAATTAAAAAAAAATAAAATGCTGTGGTGAAAAAAGATGTTTGGAAATGTAACTGCCAGATAAATTATTGTTCAACAAATTTCCTTGTAATTTTTAATCATAATTTAATAATTTAATCAGAAATTATTTTAACCGTGGCTTATGTAGTATTAGTGGGAATTGTATATTAATTGTTTAAAGTTGGCTTGCTAAATGCTTGTATCAAAGGAAAATTTTTTGGGCGGGGCTTAGTAGATGTTCACATTTTTCTAAATTTTAATGTTAATCATGTTTATATTTATATGTGCTAATATTTAATGTCAAAACATTATAAATAAGTAACAATGTGTTTTGATGACAGTATAAAAATAGCTGAAAAAGCATACTGTATACATTCTGTGCTGCCAGAGTTTATCTCATGTAATGTAGCTGTACATAGTAAGGGACACCTCTCTCTGTGGTGTCCTTGCTGGTCTTCTGTTTAGTTGTTCTATCCATTATTGAAAGTAGAGTATTGAAGACTGTAACTGATATTGTTGAACTGTTTCTTTTTTCAATTCTATTGGTTTTTGCTATATATGTTTTGGAGCTCTGTTGTTAGGTGCATATATGTTTATAATTACTATGTCTTATTGATACATTGTAGTTTTTATTATTATATATTGTCCTTCTTTGACTCTTGTAATAATTTTTGTCTTAAAGTCTATTTTGTTTGATACTAGTATAACTACTCCAGCTCTCTTTTGGTTACTGTTGGCATAGGATATCTTTTCCATTTGTTCATTCTCTTTGAATCTAAAGTGAATCTCTTGTAGACAATGTGTGGTTGGACTATGTTTTTTTGTTTGTTTTTTTTTTTAAATACATTCTGCCAAGTCTTGGCTTTGCTTCTGTATAGCTCTGTCCTTCTTTATGTTGTTTTTGTCATGAATTATATTTGCATATATTGTGTGCCCATCAACATAGATTTATAATTATAGTTTAATGCAATTGTATTTTAAATAATATAAGGAAAAAAATAGTTTCAAACCTAAACTACATTAATAGTGACTTTTATATTTACTTATGTAGTCACCTTTACCAGGTGTTTTTTATTTCTTTGTGTGGATTTGAGTTACTATCTTGTGTCCTTTTATTTCAGCCAGAAGGATTCACTTTAGCATTTCTTATAGGCCACATATACTAGTAGCAAACTCTTACCAGTTTTTATCTGGAAATGTGTTAATTTCTCCTTCAATTTTGAATATTTCTACAAGATAAAGAATTGTTGGTTAGCAGTTCCACCAGCCCCCCCCACCCCTTTCTGTCAACACTTTGAATAATAGGTCATCTCACTGCCTCTGGTCTCCATTGTTTCTGATGAAAAATCAACTGTTTATCTATTGAGGATCACTAGGGTTTGATAAGTAGCTTCGTCTTGATACTGTCAAGGTTCTCTTTGTCTTGGCTTTGGACAGTTTTATTATAATATGTTCTAGTGTGGATGTCTTTGAGTTTTATCTTACTTGGAGATCATTGAGGTCTTTGGATGTGTAAGTTAATATTTTTCATCAAATATTTTTCTCTCCTCTCCTTTTGGGATTCTCTTTTGAAGCTCTGTTCATTTTTTTCATTCTTTTTTTTTTTTTTTTCCTGTTTCTCAGACTAGTTAGTCTCAATTGACCTAAACTTTAAATTCACTGATTTTTTTTTTTTTACTTCTTAAATCTTCTGTTTAATCTCTCTAATGAATTTTTTGTTCCATAAATTTTTTTTTAGCTCCAGAACTTCAGTTTGGATCCTGAAATAACTTCTATCTCTATGGACATTCTCTATTTCGTGAGATATCATTCTCATGATCTCCTTCAGTTCTCTGTACATTGTTTCCTTTAACTATTTGATTTAAAACAGTTGATCTAAATAGTTGATGGTCTAGTAAGCCCAATGTCTGGCTTTCTATTAATTGGTAATTTTCATGCCTATGAGCCATACTTTCTTTTTTCTTTGCATGACTTGTAAATTTTTTTATTGAAAACTGGACATTTAGAATGTTAATAATGTAGCAACTCTGGAGATCAAATTCTTCTTCCTTTACAAGGCTTTTCTTGCTGCTTATTATGGTTGTTCTTTATTTGTTTAGTGATCTTTCTGAAATAATTTTGTGAAGTCTGTATATTTTGTTGTGTGTGGCATTGAAGTTCCTGTTCTTTTAGGTCAGTACTCACCTAGTAAGTGAACAGAGCTTTCCTCAAACACTTGCAGCCAAAAAACAAAGAAACAAAAACCCAAGAAAACCTCCCCCAAACCAAACACTCCCAATCTTTGCAGATGGGGTGTGTGTGTGTGTGTGTGTGTGTGTGTGTGTGTGTGTATTGGGACATGTCTTCAACACTTAACTAGACAGTCTACAACTCTGCCTTATTCTCATTTCCTGCTCCTTCATTAACAACCAGAACCTGATGGACCTCTCAAGAGAGCTTTGGGTCTCTCAAGTCTTTCCTGAGCAAGCACTTAGCCCTGGGCATACACATGGTCTTCTAAATTCTCAGAAATGTCTGAGTTTTTCAAAGCTTTTATTCCCCCAAGATTCTCATACTTTACTATTTTCTCAATCTTTTTAGTTAGTATATTGGTTTCCCCAACCTTTATTGGTTGCCATAGGCAGCAGGAACTATAATGCATTTGTCTTTAAAGGTTTTCAATAATGCACTCCCTCCCCCCACCTCCATGTAGCTGCCTCAACACTGGGAGAGTTCCCGTTTAGACAAAATATAATCAAGTCCTTTGAGTTCCTTCAGGAAATGACCACACAGGTGAAAAACAAACAAACAAAAAACTACCACAAGAATAACGTCTATTCTGTACTCTAGAACCAGTACTTGTACTAGGAACATGAATTATTCTTCAAGGCCACTGCTGAGCCGAGGTTGAGGGATGGAACCAGAGTGAGTTAAAATGCCAGAAAGCTGTTTTACATAGATTCAGCTGTTTTTTTGTTTAAGTGTTCCCTGGTTGTCACAAGCTTTTGGTCAGTTTCCAGAGTTCCAAAAAAAGTTGATTCTGACAATTTTTTGGCTGTTTTTGCTTTTGTAGGGGGACAGACTTTGGAATTCCCTACTCTACCATTTTTCTCTTTAGTATTATCTGTAGCTTTTTAAACATCTTGACACCATATCAAATTATCCTTTTAATTCTTTTTTTTTTTAACTTAGGATTTCTTTGATAAGAAATGGTGACAAACTTCCATCTCAGGATCATTTGATTGTTCAAGAATACATTGAAAAACCTTTCCTAATGGAAGGTTACAAGTTTGATTTACGAATTTATATTCTGGTAACATCATGTGATCCACTGAAAATATTTCTCTACCATGATGGACTTGTGCGAATGGGGACAGAGAAATACATCCCACCTAATGAGTCTAATTTGGTAAGTGACACCAGCTAGAATCGATGATTTTATTCATTTGTTCAACATGTACTTTTAAAAGTACCCATTGTATATAATGATTATATGAATCCAAGTCCCTTTTCCCCAGTTTTTATAGTCAAGAATTGTGTGCATAAACAAGACTGCTTCTAATTTATAGACAGCTTTGTGAAAATTAGAAAAAATGATGTCTCCTCCAGCAGGCTAATTAGGAGAAGGCACTCCCTCTGGGTGCTGTGAGCATAAGGATGGATTTCAAAGCACACACGTGTATGTAATGGGCTTGTGTAGAAATGACATATACACATGTGTACACAGTGGCCCTACATAAAAATGGATTTCAAAGCACATATGTGTATACTTTGGATAGAAATGACTTATTTAGAGCTATATGTAGAAACAATATCTCATTGAGAAGTACAGACAAAGTGTCATGGGGTTGAGTTTAGGGATAGTTTGTGTTTAGCTCCTCATGGAGAAAGCTTTGAGAAAGCTTTACATAAAAGGTACAGTTTAACATGTAGGATGTGGGAGAAAGTGTATGAAACAGAGGAAACAAAAGTTATCAGAAAGTAGAGTTGTTAAGTTTTGTTTGCACAAATGAAAAGATGGTAAATTTACATTCACCAAATGTGAAGTAGAGACATAAATTGGCAGTTTCTGGGTGCATTTTAAAATCTATTAAATGGAACTTTCTGTAGTTATTTTTCCATTAAGATTTCCTTTGTGCCATCATAACATATAACTGGTTTATAATTTATGAAGGTCAAGCTGTAATTCGTTATGACAATTTTTCATGCAAATAACAAACTTTAATTTATAGTAAACTGTAATTTATTATCTATACTTAAAAGTTTAGTTAACCTCTACCCTGTTTTTGGATCTGCTAATTATAGTAAAAGTTACAAGTAATTAAGTATTGTTTCCCATTTTATCAAAGGCCTGGTTATTGTTCTCTTCCAATGTTATACACAGAATTAATTGCATTAAGAGTGGTCATATTTTAAACATTACATAATGACTGATCATAAATGTTGCTATGTTCAATTAACTGAGAAATGTAAACCTGGCAAAGGAAGACTAAGGGAACTGTCAAATAAGGGAACTGTTTCCACTGGAAAGGAAGATAAAAGAAAGAATCATCTCTTTAAAGGTCATAAAGTGTGAATATATCCAGTCACCAAGTAATATTTGAACTCTACTGCGTTCCAGGCATTGTGCTGGTTTTGGAAAAACAGTGACCAAGACAGATACAGTGCTTGACCTCTCAAAAGCAACAGTCTAGTGGGGAGGCAGAAAATAAAATAAGCAGTTATAATACCTAATGGTAAGTGTAATGGTCTAAGAAACTGAGGGTGCTATGGCAGTGCATAGCAAGAGCATCTAATCCAGTTGGAGATAAAGGTTACAAAAGGAGTTTGTAAAGTGAAATACGAACAATGAAGGGTCAGCCAGGCTGGGGGCGGGGTGGGATGGAACTCCAGAGAGAAAAATGGCCCAGAGATACGGTATATCTGGAGAAAGCAGACATGTTCACTACCGCTCTATACAGACTATGAAGGGGTGGATGTTCAGAAATGAGTATGAAGGTCCTAGAGCACAGATCTTTCAGAGCTTTTTAGGCCATGTCTAGGATTTGGGGATTTAACCTAAGAAGAAAGGGAACATTAAAAGATTTTAAAGAAGGAAAGGAGGAATGAGATTTTTGTCTTCAAAAGTTCACCTGGTCTGTAGTGTGGGGAATGTGAGATGGGGGTGTGGATGGATGGGGGAGGTGAGGGTGAGGAAAAAGCTGTTGTTTATACTAACCACACGTGAGAGAAAAGATGGCCTTATTTGAAGTAACAGTAGTAGGGCTAGCCAAAGAATAAGAACAGAGATCTAAGATATATTTATGATAACATGGATAGCATTGATATAATAATATACTGCGAGGTTGCATTTGTAGAACAAAGGAAGGGGAGAGAGAAAGTAAGGATAAAAACTCAAGATTTTTGGCATGGGCAGTCGGGTAGATGGGGTGTTATTCACCATGATAGGTAATATAGGGCTATTAAAGGTCTTGCAAGCTGGTGTGTTTGGTTCAACATGCCTGCAAGGGCCTCCAAATGGATCTATGCTATAAACATTTGGATATATAGTATAGGTGTGGAGTTGAGACGAGAACTGAGCTATAGGCCTAATTTGAGACTTGTCAGCTCTTAGATTATAATTAAAATAATTGGTGTGGGGAAGAATGGGTTATAATACATGTGAGGCAGGTAGTCATGTTTTAAGAGAAAAGAGTAAGGGAAGACATAGGAAAGGGTGAGATATGGAAGCTCATTTAGGTGACAAAGTGATTTATTCTAATATTTTAAATTATATGTATATGATTTACTTAAGTACGCTGAGTTAGGAAATCATAAGGAAAGACCATGAGTCAGCAAATGTATCTCACTTTGCCAAGTGCTTTTGAATCATGTACTCTGTGGCTCTGGGTCACATGTACAAAGAATGATCTCCTAGATAAATGTCAATGTTCCTTACATATCTTTAAAATTCAAAAGTTCACCTTTTTCGACTTCACGATCAAGTTCCTAGATTAAGATATGAAAAAGTAAAAAAAAAAAAAAAAAAAAGAGAGAGAAGTACAAAATTTTATCTAAAGTGAGATCACAGTTATGTGAAAGGTAAGCTTAAGAAAAAATGCTGGAAAAAATAAACCAAAATGCTCTCATTGGTGGTTTTTGGATGGCATAATGCTGCATGTTTGTTTCTTTTTCCTATTTCCAATTTTTAAAATAGTGAGCATATATTTTATAAAGAGCTGTGTGTGTTTATAAGAAGTAAATATTGGTAAACTACATATAAGGAGATCATAAGACAGAATTTCAAACATTGAAATATAGTAAACGTTTATTTTTTGCTACCAATGTAGCAGTTGGCAGGTTCTTGAAAAGTTTTTGTGTATCCCAATTCATTGTATTGAGCCTATATGCTAAAAAATAGGGTGGAGAATATTTATATCCTATTCATACCTTGCAGGTTGCTATTTGATTTATAGCTGTTTTCACTGCTCATGGCTAATGTCCAACTGGCAATAAAATGCTTAGGAGGGGATTTTTGTCAAGGTAGATGTGAAATTGGAACTTCTAATCCTACTTACAAAGCTACTGTTTTAAGAAAAATACAAAGTTCCATTTCTTACTCACTTTTTTCATTAGGATAGCTAGAGTTTTTATGACTGCTAATATTATTTATCTTAAAACATTCTTGCCAAATAGAGAACCCCCTCAAAAATTATTTTCCAATTTTTTTAAATTTAAAAGTGATTCCTATTTTGGAAACTAGGAAGTGCTGTAGTTTGATTAATTTCCTTTTTCTTCAAATCAAGCAGTTAAAATTAGACAAGTGTAAGATTTATGCTCTTTCTTTCAAATATCACTTAGTTTAAAGCTTTTTCCAAGTTTCATTAGGGCAGGGACTGTGTCTGTCTTGTTCATCTTTGTATCCTCAGTGCCCAGTACAAGTTCTTGCAGATAGTAAGTAGGCGCTCCTTAAGTATTGTTTAATGATGAAAAAATAAATTCTTAATTAGCAATGGCGCATGGGTTAGTAAACAGCATGTAGCTGAGATGATAAGTTCTGCACATTTGCATCGAAGATGTGAATACTGTAGATGGAAGTAACTGCAATGGAAATAAAATATGATGCAAATATACTTTGCTAGTAACAAGCCTAAATAATAACCACGTACATGAAGTATTTGTTCATTGTAAAGCACCCTGCTATTTAAAGTAATTTCTGAGAATAGGATCATGAAGGCAGAATTTATAGATTTGACGAATGTCTATGATAGATTGGTAGGGAACCATTAGATGTGTCTTAGTTGACAGTTACGAGAGGTTTTAAATTTTGGATTACTTTTCTGGTTTATTTGAGGATAACAGTATCAACAAATGTAAGACTATAAAGAGACCAAGGCACGGCAGCTCCAATAAAGAGCACTATAAATTTATACTGTTAATCATTTGGACTCTGTACAGCATTGTGTGGTGCCTCTGTTTGCTGGCTGTAAGTGCACTCTGTCTTGAGAATGAATTCAAGTGGCCTCCTGGTCAGCGTGGGAGGACAGAGGTTGTGTTTGGTAGTCCTGCCTTTTGGTTTATGCTACTTACTTGAACTTTCATTTTTTATTTTTCTTTTAAAAGATATAGAATGCTCTGTCAGAAAATGCCCTTCCCCAAACAAATTTGGGTGAAAACTGTAAGTGACTAAAGATGTTAAAAATAAATATGAAAACAAATAGCATTTTTCCTGCTTAGCAATGTAGAATTTCATGCTTTCATGTAATTATTTTGTATATTCGTATTATTTTAATACTTTAAAAAATGCTTATTTATTTATTTATTTTGAGAGAGAGAGTGTCCAAGTGGGGAAGGGGCAGACAGAGAGGGAGAGAGAGAATCCCAAGCAGGCTCTGCGCTGAGCAGAGCCCAATATGGGCTCAATCTGATGAACCATGAGATCATGACCTGAGCCGAGATCAAGAGTCAGACACATAGCCAACTAAGCCAATACTTTTTATGGTAGATACATTTTGAATAATATATAAAGCAACTTTGTAGATGACTATATTTGTAATCCTTTTATTGGAAATTTGCCGTTTCGCTTAATTTGAAACCTATCTAAGTCATCGTGAAATTGTCAATTTGTGTGTTTTAAATTTTAAAAATGTCTTTCATCTTTGGATGCTTTATGTTCTGTGAAACCTCACAGTTCTAGAGTCTCATAGGTGATAACTTTGGTTCTTACTTGTTACAGACGCAGTTATACATGCATCTAACAAACTACTCTGTGAACAAGCACAATGAGCGTTTTGAAAGGGATGAGACTGAAAACAAAGGCAGCAAACGTTCCATCAAGTGGTTTACAGAATTCCTACAAGCAAATCAACATGATGTTGCTAAGTTTTGGAGTGATATTTCAGTAAGATTATACCATTTCACAATTATAAGTGTCTTTCCTCAGATTAATTTAAAGGATCATCAGCATTTTAAATAAAGAACAGATTACATTAGGTTGGACAAATGAAGTATTGTCATGAAGGAGGTAGGAATTATGACAGACCTTGATGAGCAGTGTTTCTACTGCTAGGAATGGGAGAGAGGGGTACTAGGTATAAGCAGAAGCATAGATGTAGGGGAATAGGGGAAAGTGGCCCAGGTCAGCACATATGGTATTTGTGGGAATTTTGTGGGGATTTATGGCTGAAAAGATATGTGGAGGCAAAATTTTAGGTCTGAAAGTCAACGGTTAACTTGGTAGGCAGTAAGGATTCAATCTTTCCAGATTTTAAGGGAGAAGAGAAATAAGGCCAAAGACCCTGAATTTAAAAGATAAATCTGAAGGTGGGTGTGGGACGGGTTATAGTAAAGACTAAGAGTAGGTAAAGGAGGGCACCGGGGTGTAGTTTAAGTGAAAAGAGTGGCCTGAGGTGAACCAGCTCAGAGTAGAAGAGGTGACAACAAAGTAAATGTTGAGGTTAACTGAATGTCCAAAATCGGGGAGAAGTATTCAGAGATTCCTCTGCAGTTTTAAGGAGGAGTTATAGGGAGCATGGGTTGGCTTTATCTGAAGTAGAGTAGAGAGGAATTAATTTTGAAAAGATGTAGAGCTTAGTTTTGCAAGTGAGGGAAAAGAGTTCTATTCATTTATTCATTCCATTCATTCTTTCAGTCACTCAGTAAACATTTATTGAACCCATAACCTTGTTTCTGACTGATAATTTGAAGAGTTAGAAGATACAGCTCCAGTCCTCAAGAAATGTAAGAGTTTTGTAGGAAAGACCCACATACAAATTGTTAATAAAATATACCATAGCACGTACAACAGAGGCATGTGTTGGATTCTGTGGGAATGTAGAGGAAGACCACATATAGTAACTTTCCATGGGAAGGGGTAGGAGAAGGACTCCCAAGAGGCATTGGCACCCGAACTAAGTTTGTAAAAGTTCATGAGGCTATGATAATGAGGTCTAGAGATTTATTGTACTTGAAATGTTTTCTCAGGTAGAAAGATTAAGCAGGTAGTTAAAAGTGCATGTTTGAAGCGTAATTGATAATTAAAGGCATGGCAGTGGATGACCCTGAAAATAAGGGTAAAGAGGGAAAAGAAGCAGATCTGAGAAGATAACCTGGGTGAAACTGCTCCTTTATAATCCTAGCAGAAGTATCACAATGGTATTCAAAGTTAGAAGACTGTGTCTCTTGAAAGTACGTAATATGATAGGATTATGCAATATGATTTAGCTTTTCTTTGGGAGCCGATAAATAAATCTATCACGGAAAATGCACATGAAAGTTTATAGTTAGTTGAATTTGGTTCTCTTGAGATAATTAGAAAAATCAGCGTCATTATACTTATCCTTTTCTTGTTTTGTTGGTTGGATTTTTTATACCTTATTTTCTATATCACAGAATGTAAATCCAGAGGTCCTTTGGTGTCAGATAAGTAAAAGGAGTGAAATGGTCCGGACAGAAGTAAATAGAGTATGCGGGGAACTATGGTAACTTGAAGTGTATGAGAAGTCTGGAGGGGGTGGACACTACTCAGCACCAGCCTTTTGTTGCCACATGGTATTGTGGGCCCAGTGTGTTTCATTCTTCTAATTTGACAATAGAAGCTCTAAGTCTCCTGATTTATTAAAATGTTGACACCACATTTAAAACTTTTGAAAGTGTAGGGGCTCCACCAAAAATGTGTATCAACTGGATTTTGTTGGAGGCCCACCAACTTGTTAACTTTCTATCCTATCTTCCTGGTGGCCCAAATACATCCAAACAAGAAATTTGATGACAATTAATTCTGTGTTTATTTATCTACTTATTTATTCTATCAAGGCCAATTTTGCAGAAATTCAAAAAATATTTTAATAATGATGGTTTATTATGTCAGATGCATCAGGGGTGTGAAATTTGTTATTGCACGAATAACAAACGGAAGATCATACATGTTGATACCTGGATAATTTAATGAATGGATCATTTGATGAATAGCTCAGCGAGACCAAGAAGGTTTATATGCCCTGTGATGCTCCTTTTTTGTTGTTGTTTTTACCAAATTTGTCACTTCCATGTGGGTTTTACTTCTTTGGAGAAGGGAGTGTGAAAAGGTGGAAATTCTTGGACTGCCTTGGTGAGGAATGTGTAGAAAGAATCAGAGAGAAAAACGAGTGTCATTAGCTTTATATCCATTGGTTTTAAGTGGTACTTCCCGTACATAATTAATTAGGAGAAGGTATAGAAGTGAGACTAATATTAATAAGAGGGTATGGAAACGGACCTTTCTGTGAGAGCCTAAAATATAACATTCATATATAACTTGAACATGGCCAGTGTGTGCCTATTAAGCTCTGACACATTTGTGATATCTTCTATAAAGGGGTAAATTCTGCATCATTCTTGCTTACATTAGTTATAATGTGTAATAATCTACAAATAAGCAATTAGTTAATATTAGTAAATTACTAACTTTTCCAAGTAGATATCTTAAAAAAAATTTTTTTTTAATCTTTATTTTTGAGAGAGAGAGAGAGAGAGAGAGAGAGAGAGAGAGAGTGGGGGAGGGGCAGAGAGAGAGGGAGACACAGAATCTGAAGCAGGCTCCAGGCTCTGGGCTGTCAGCACAGGGCTGTGAGCCCGACGCGCGGCTTGAACTCACAAACTGCGAGATCATGACCTGAGCCAAAGTCAGACGCTTAACCTACTGAGCCACCCAGGCACCCATCAAGTGTATATCTTTTAATTATATTTACCTTTATTAAGAATTGCATATAAAGATATCTGTTTAAGATGAGTTAATGAAATAATATATTATTAAAAAAAGGAGATAGAGAAGGCAGTCAATCAGTAAGTTTTTGTCTTTGTGTCATAGTTTATAAATTTCATGAATTTAACTTTGGACTTTTTTTTTCAATGACCTCTTTTTTGGGAGGCAATTTCTCTAAAAAGTAACTGTCTGTATATGAAAACTGACGTTCAGTACCTCCTGTGTAGCATGGAGATGTGTGCTTTTGTGCTGGTCAAGAATGAGTGAGAAATCGGGGCTCCTGAGTGGCTCAGTTGGTTGAGCTTCCAACTTCGGCTCAGGTCATGATCTCGTGGTCTGTGAGTTCGAGCCCGTATCGGGCTCTGTGCTGACAGCTCAGAGCCTGGAGCTGCTTGGGTTTTTGTGTCTCCCTCTCTCTCTGCCCCTCCCTCGTTCATGCATGTCTCTCTCTGTCTCAAAAATAAACATCAAAAAAATATTTAAAGAAAAAAAGAATGAGTAAGAAATCAATAGAAAATCAAGCCATGGAAGTTACTCATAAACCCCGTTGTCTCTGAATTCTTTTTATACACTGTAGATACAGATCTACAAATCATATTTCAGAGCAATGACAGTATGTTGGAAATTCTCAAAAAACATCAGTGGAGTTTGATTTGTGTTTGGTTATATCACTCTTGATTTTCACATATACCTGTAGTCTTACCTTTGCATTCCTAAAAATGTGGTGTTTTATGCAGAAAAAGCACAGATTTGTAATTCTTCTGGGTCAATTAATATTCAGTCTCCCCCCCCCCCATCTGCGTTGTTTTATGCAGACATTTTATTAGCCAAGGCTTTAACTTTTTTTCCCCCTATTTTCCAGTATCTTCACTAATACATCCAAAGATTTATATTAAGTGATTTTTTTTGTCTTTTATCTTTATATACTTCAGTGTTTTTGGTGTTCAATTTTTTACTTTGAGTAAAATTTTTCTGAGAGTAACCTCTCATAACATCTCTGATACTTACCCCAAATATGATCTGGGTTGGGATTCTGGATAACAGCAAGATTAATCTGTCTTCCATTTTTTCTCCAATATAATGAATATTGCTCCCACCAGGTAATGGAATGTTTGTTTCTGACCTGAAATACGAAGAGGAGTGAGGAACGGCAGAATAATTATAACAATAGTAGTAGTTAACACTTAGTGAAGGTTTACTCTGTTCTAGGCACTATGCCAAGAGTTTTACATGGAGTCTCATTTTGCACTTACTTCAGTCTTTTGCAGTAGGTATTATTACTATTTCCCCTTTCCCTTTGGGAAAGTGAGATTCAGAAAGCTTAAGCAACATAACTGAGGTTGTACACTAGCAAGGAGCAAAGCCAGGAATAAATCCAGAAAGTCTGATGTTAGAGCCAAGTTCTTAACTGCCATGTTATATTGCCTACGCCTGTAGAGAGGGACTTAAAAAGACAATATATTCTAAGGCAAAAATACAGCAAAACCACTTTTCCACAATCCATAGTTTGTTCTTAAACTTCAGTAAACCAACCTTTTGTTTTATTAGCATTAGTAACTCATTCTAGTAGTATTGTGTGTCCTCTTGTCTCCAGTAAACCTTATGAACTGCAAAATCATCACCACACAAAGAAGCCCACCTTTCCTAGATTCTGTCCCATCCTTTCAGCCATTGTCTCAGTGGAGGTTTTATAATGTCGTTTGTGAAGTAGTTGACCCTCGCTGTAACTTTTCTTTGCTGCCACTCCTAAACCCTCCCGTATGGTTTCTGAGAAGTCTAGCATGTGCTCCTACCCTTATTTATTTACCAGATAGAAACCGCATTTGTCAACTTGATTTTTGTTTTTGTTTTTCTTGAGAGAGAGATAGACAGCATGAGTAGGGAAGGAGCAGAGGGAGAGAGGGAGAGAATCTTAAGCAGGCTCCATGCTCGGTGCAGAGTCCAATATGGGGCTCCAACTCAAGACCATGAGATCATGACCTGAGCTGAAATCAAAGAGTTGGATGCTTAACTAACTGAGCCACCCAGGCGGCCCATATCCACTTTTATTTTACTTAATTGTTCACAAATATTTTTGAGCATCTACTAAATGGCAGGCACTAGTGTAGGCACAAGGACATGGCTGTAATTAAAAAAGAAAAATATCAGCTGATTCTATGCTGTGTGAGATGGTACAGTAAAGGATAGCCATGACTACTTTTGACTCCAGGGTCAGGGAAGGCCTTTCTGAATATCAAGGAGCCGGACATGGGAATATTGGGAAGAGTGTTCCAGAAAGAGGGAGCAGTTACTGCCAGAGACCCTAAGCAGGCAAGCGTGGCTGGAGTGTAATGAGTAGGACAAGAGTTGCATGAAATGGAATCAGAGTAGCGTCAGGGGCCATGTGTCATAGAGCTTTGTGAACTTGGCCGGTGTGCTGCTCTGTAAGTTTAGGCCTTATTTCCACATATGTAAATAAGATACAAAAAAGTAAGGCATTTTCACATTTTTTTTTTTTAATCACTCTATTTGCAGGAATTGGTTGTAAAGACTTTGATTGTAGCAGAACCTCATGTCCTGCATGCATATCGAATGTGCAGACCTGGTCAGCCTCCAGGAAGTGAAAGCGTCTGTTTTGAAGTTCTGGGATTTGATATTTTGTTGGACAGAAAACTAAAGCCATGGCTTCTGGAGGTAAGGCATTTCTATAAGAAGAAAGAGAAGTTACTACTGTTCTTGTGCATTAAAACAAATGTTTTTTAAATGAGTAGTTGGCACAGTTGTCTCATTAACCGAGCAGAAAGAGGCCTGAATGTAACATGTGGGAGGAAGAGAACAAAAATTCAGAGAATACAACAGTTCCAAGAACGGACCAATATGTGTTTGATATTACTTTTCCCAAGTTAATTTGAGTGCATTTCTGGGCCAGGAATTTTGAATGTATGTGTGGATCTGCTTCTACTGATTTATCTACTTTCTCCACTATTTCCTCAGTCTCACGTCCTTCATTACTTCATTACTCCATGACCTCTGGATGTTGTCTTTCCTCTGTGTGGGTGCCTGGGCTTGAGGACCATGGCCTCCTTGTCTTCATTGGTTTCCTATTCAAACTCTCCAAGAAGAGAGAGACTCTGATTGGTTCATTAATCAGTATTCAGTACCTCATACCCCAGCTGGCATGGCTCTCCCTGAAGGCCATATTATATGCCTGGGACTCCCCCCATGTCCAGTCTGTTAACTGTGCGCCTTTGGGTTTGCTGCCAGTCCCTGGTATGGTCAGAGTCATCGTTATTTTTCTCTTGTTATAAAAGATCACTTAATATTAGGAAAATATGAAATGATATAAAGGAGAAATAAAAATAGTCTCTTCTTAACATTTGTGTACCTTTCCTTCCAGTCATACTTATACTACATCCAGAAGAAAACTTAGAAGTTTTCTATCCCATTCAGCAGTTTCCTCTCAAGCCCTTGATCTGGAGTCATAGAGTGCATGGGCACAGAACACTGTGTTTAGGAAACTTTATCAGGAAAATAGCACATATCTAAACAGTGTTTACTAGATTAGTTACATTTTGGAACATATTGCTATAGAAGGTATAATCAACAAGTACCTTTCATTCTATGCTGATTATCTCTCTTTTTTTGTTAATGATTTCGAAGGTGGAAGTTCTGTCTGTAACGTGCAAAAGCAAACTGAATGAGTGATAGATAATCAAGACATTCAAAATATATTTTTAGGAAGGAGCGCTTTTCCAATTAGAGGGCTAATGGGTGTGTGTGTGTGTGTGTGTTCAATCTGCTCTGTTCCAGTTATATTTCCAATCAAATACAGATGTCAGATGTTCAAATTTTGTTCCTGCTTGGGTCCTGGAAATAAGATTTTGCTATCTTTTTCTGTCCTTCATCACTTGAACATGAAAGCATTTGACTCTGCGCCTTACTAGGCCTGACATTTTCTTCCCTAGGTTTCTTACTTTGTTTGCAATTATTCTTCCTTGTTCTTAACTGTATTTTCCCCCTGCTCCTGCTACTTGTCTTTTATCCTTGACGGGGTGGAGAAAAAGTGAAGGCACATGCATGAAGTGACACTCAAAGTATAGTAGGGAGTAATGACTATAGATAGTTTAGTTACCTGTTTTTAAAAGCATTTGTCTAACTGGAGCTTTGTATGAGTTTGGTAAAGCAGAATTGACTGAATGGTTGAATTCTATATTTTTTCAAAGGCTCAAAACACCATTGTTGGCATTAGTGTTTCTTCATACTTCGTTCTCTCCTTTATCATGTCCAGATGAATAACCATTAAAAAACCCCACAATACTCAACAGCTAACTAGCACTGTTTGCATTAGCATATTTTCATTTTCAGTTCATTTCTTCACCATTTCCAGATCAGGCAGAATCATTACAAAGACTTTATAGTAATCAATCACTATGGATAATGAACATTTATTGTATTAAAACAGTTAAAGTAATCTTATTTAGATCTTGCTTCTTTGTGTTTTCTCCCAGCTGCAATTGTAGTGGTTCTAACATATGTTGTTAAAAACCTTTTGGCACCATCAAGTGGAATAAGATAGAAGGTGCATCTGAGGATATGATAACTTTTAGTTAACTGGAATAATTGCAGGTAATGATTCATAGTGACAAAATTGCAGAAATTTTCAAGCACAGAAACATTGTTAAGGAAAAGTATGAAAACTGGGCAGGGTATGAATATACTGCTAATACTTTAATTACCCTTGAATTATTTCAACGAGTCATTGTGTCAGGGGGTGGAGATAAAAGAAGACGGAATACTTGCCCTGGTTTAGAGGGGACTCAGATATGTGTCTTATGGTAGTATTTACAGGTATAAGTAGGGAACAGGGTACCACCACAAACAATAGAGTGATTAATCTCTCTATGTACAAGTGTGTATTTGACAGTTAAAAAAAATCTTTGCAGAGGAGGAACTCCTGAGCAGAGTATATAAGGCTGTAGAAAGTACGGTGGGGACTGGAAGTTGGGAGAGATGGGGGTGGGATGAGGAGAAGTTACTGGGCAGAGGGAATAGCATTAATTTGTGAGCACAAAATCTGTTACGTATACTTTGTTATGTGCATGAAATTATTGTGCTTGTTTTGATAGTAAAACTATCATTTGGTTGGTTAATAAATAGTATTTATCAATTTAGTCTGCTTTCTAACAGTTTTAATTTTTGTGTGCATTTACAAGCTGCTGAACGTTAAGACCCTAACATCTGCAGAGTTTTGTCTGTTCTAGAATTGGGGTAGGAATGAGAGCCAAAGAAGCTGTCAACATCACAGAGTAGAATTTTGACTGAATGAAACCCTAATTTTCAGAGTTTCATCTGTCTTTAGTTTTTACTTTACCTTTCTCATAAAACTTTTGAGAAATCCAAAATGTTAATTGCAAAAAGTTTTTCTACCTTTTCATGTATTACTTGATCTTGTGTGAGTACATTTGTCCGTAGACCAATTTCTTTTTTATGGTAGTAGAGGGAAGATTCTGACATAGGTAAGAGGGGACCTGAGGTCACAACCATCCTGGAGGAGGGGTATGTCTGGCAGAGTTCCAGATGACAGTTTTGGAATGGAACACCCAAGGAATTCTATAAAGATAGATTACATTTCAGTGAACCGCTTAATCATTGTTTCCTAAATGTCTGGTTTATTTTATAATCCTGTTACAGGTAGCAGCTGAACTATCATTAATTATATTACAAATTCCAGAGATTTGAATCAGTATGGAATGGTTAACTTGTTTTTTTCACATAAAATACATTGCCCTTTCTTTGCACTTGTGAGAGGAAATACTTAAAGAGTTTTGAAGTCGTGGATTAATAAACTTCCTTTCTTTAAAAAAATTTTTTTTAAATATTTTATTTATTTTTGAGAGAGAGAGACCGAGCGCAAGTGGGGGAAGGGCAGAGAGAGCGGGAGACCTAGAATCCAAAGCAAACTCCAGGCTCCGAGCTGTCAGCACAGAGCCTGACATGGGGCACAAACCCACGAACTGCAAGATCATGACCTGAGCCGAAGTCGGATGCTTGACCGACTGAGCCACCCAGGTGCCCCGGTAGAGTCCCTTTCTTAAATTTGCCTGGAATAAATGGAGGTTCTTGTAGTTACTAAGCTATTCCTTTCTCCTTGGGACCACATCACATAGGCAGAAATATGCCCGTCACCTTCTAAATCAGAAATCAGCAAAAGCATAATGTAGTTTGGCATATCTCTATAAATGGAATACCATGCACCAAAATGATGGCATGAAAGATTTTCATGATATATTGATAAGGGAAAAACTTGGACTATAAAATAGTATTGTTAGTATAGGCATGTATTTAGAAAGTAAAGTGAAAATTATAAATATGCATGCATGGCAGATACTTATACTTTATCAAATGGTGAGCAATACACTATCAAATAGATGACAATATGCTAGGTGGTGGGATTACAGGTGATTTTTCTGTTGTTTGTTTAGCTTCTCTTTATATACTTATAGTTATACTTCCTACAATTGCCAGAGTTATAAAATGCATACTATCAAGTTTTTTGTCTCTAATGGAATGGATTTGTAAAAGACAATCCTCTTTCAGGACTAGTAGCATATTTTTTTAGATCGTCTGTGGTGTTAGGTGGTGGTCATGAAAGCTGAGCTGTAGTTTAGAACTCAGCGCATTCTAACCAACCGAGTTAATTAAGTAATTTTCTTAAACACTTGCTATTCCAGTTACATTTTTATAACAACAGCAACAACAAACCCAATAGCAGCAAAGACAAAGACAGGAGCTCCAGCTCTTGGGGTGGTAGCATATTGTATCATGGGTTTCAGGGTACATATAGTTACTGTTACTTCTTATTTTTCATCTTTTTTTTTTTAGATGTTTTTTTATTTTTGAGAGAGAGAAAGAGCATGAGCAGAAGAGGAGCAGAGAGAGACAGGGAGACAAAGAATCAGAAGCAGGCTCCAGGTTCTGAGCTGTCTGCACAGGAGCAACCTGAGGAGCTTGAACTCATGAGAACAGCGAGATCATGTGATGACCAGGAGCCAAGTCAGGACGGCTTGACTGACTAGGCCGACTCTCTTTATTTTTTATCTTAATGAAATCCTGGAAATGATGTTGGAAAGAACACTCACAAATAACTCACTTATGCCCAGAATCCTTATATAGTTAGAGAAACTCATAGAGATTAGTCTGCAACTACCTTTAATGGTATCTTCTGAGTTATGCAGTTTTTGGAAATGAAAAATGATAAATTATTGTTTGATCCAGGTAGAAAAAAAATAGTTTATTTTTTAGACAGCAATAGACGAATTCATCCAGAAGATCTGAAGTAGTGAAAAGAGGGTACTGATAGTTTCTGTATGCTAAATAAATGCATGAGTATTGCTATATTGGTAGCATGTGTATCTTTTTTGTTACATCATCATTATTATTGTTAATACTGGTCTTCTAATCTCATGTCAGAATGAGTCACTTTTAACTTCCCTGAACTTAAAACCTAGAGCATGGGGTGTTGGGCTGAAAAAGGGCGGGGAGGAGGGGGAGGGCACATAGGCCGACTGAAGATCCTGAGCTAAGGCAGCAGGGGGAAGAGGGCCATGAGAGCAGTCAGTTCCTCGCAACTCCTTGACTTAGAGTGGCGAGAAGGGAGGTGTGACAGTGGTAACTGGGCCATCTAGTATGTGGAGCTTTGAGATTTATTGTAGAGTTTTTCTACTGGTTGGAGATCTTGCATTAATTTAAAAAATAGAAATTGAATATTTACCAACCTACCAACATTTGGCCATTCTCATTGTTTCCTTTGTAAATTTCAGATTAATCGAGCTCCAAGCTTTGGAACAGATCAGAAAATAGACTATGATGTAAAAAGGGGAGTGCTGCTAAATGCACTGAAACTGCTAAACATCAGGTAAAGTCTTTCCTTCATTGTTTGGAAGGTTTCCAGCACATTTGGCCTGGAACAATCACTTGTATGTACATGGGGTTGGCTTGTAACTTTTTCATATTTTGTGTTTTAAATTTCTTGATTCATTCTTCAAACCCATTTAGTGTTTTCTTTTTAAATATCATTTCCTCTCCTCTACATGCTGCTTTTCCTTCTCCCTGTATCATGCTCTGAATCTATAGTAAATATGGTTAAATTACAGTGTTGGTATAATTATTCAGTATAGAGTATAAGGTTGAATTGGAGACTACCTGAGGAAAATCTCTAGATTATCTTCCTCACCTTGCAAGAAGAAACTAAAGCAGAGGTCATTCAGCATTCAAGAAGTAAACAGCAACAACAACAACAACAACAACCCTCAAACACATGGATTTCCTACCTTTCTGTTCAGAAGTCTTCCCACTATATCATGCTGCCTGGGTAAACAGAAATGAGATGGTTATTAAGACAGGGTTAACCTTGCCATTGAAAATCATAGGCAGGATTTCCTATTTATTTATTTGTTTATTTATTTGTTTATTTATTTATTTATTTTTTAAGGCTGGATAACATTCCATTGTATGTGTATACTACATCATCTTCATCATTCATCTGTTGATGAACATTTAGGTTGCTTCCGTGTCTTGGTTATCGTGAATCATGCTACAGTGAATGTGCGAGTGCAGACATCTCTTTGCATCCTGATTTCAACTCCTTTGGATATATACTCAGAAGTGGAATTGCTGCACTTATATTATGATTAGTGTTATTATTAGCTGGTTGCAGTGTACATGATCATGGATCTCAAATATTGGAATTGCTATTTTGTGGGAAAGCTTTTGGCTCATTATGCAACAAATTTGTTAGAAGTTTAGTTGAAGTGCTTAATGAAGTAGTGAGTCACATCTGCTTTTATAAGTGTTCAAACAGTGTTTAGGGTGTTGGATTAAAGGACCTCTGAGGTTATTTGAGCCCAGGGATTTTATGAATTCAGTTGATTCCCACTGTCATTTAAAGAACTCTAAATGAGTTGTGGGATGCTTCCAAGCAATTTATTTATTTTAAGTGTTTTCAAGCAGTTAGCAGATGCCTGCATGAGAAGTAGCTTTATATAGAAGGCATTATTGAAAGAAGAGACTGATACATAAATTTGTTTAGAAATTTTCATATGGCCCCTTCTTTTGCTTGATAAAAAAATGATTTGCCTAAATTTAACTGATATTTCAATTACCCTAAAAGAAATGAATAGAAGAGACGTAGAAGGTGAAATTTTTGTTTATTTAGCTTACACAAGTAGTATGCCCATACATGGTTTTAACATTTACTGTTATCGTATAAGTAGGCCTAATGGTTTTTGTTTTTGTTTTTTGTATGTCATTGTCAGTGATGTTACCAATTTAGGACATAACCTATGGGTGTTTTGGTCTTTTTAAAAGTGAGATATATACAGTTCAAACAGTGAGAAATTTCTAGACTTAAAAATAAAGGAGAGTTGGAATTAATTTTCCTTATTTTTCTTTGCCTTGTTCCACGAAGAGAATTTAGTGTAATTCTTAGCATTTACAGCATGTGCTACTGAAGCTTACGTTGCACATGTGCCTTTTCTTCCATCCAGATGGAGTGCTCCATGGACATATAAATGTGTTAGACTTGTATTTCAAATCTGTACACTTCTTAATACAATGTTTTACTTACAGTATGGCTCCACATACACCCCAAAGTTCATTTTGTGAGACTATTCTTTTAATCTCAAGGAAATCCAGAAGAATGTAGATTGTTCAGAGTATTCTGTCACAAACCCTGGGAGTACAGAACCTCAACTACAGGGAGACCATTATTCAATGGATGATTAGATGAATATGATGTATATGAATATATATATATGTGTGTGTGTGTGTGTGTGTGTGTGTGTGTATTTAATTTTGGAGAGACAGAGAATGCAAGCAGGGGAGAGAGACAGAGGGGTAGAGAAAGAGAACCTTAAGCAGGCTCCATGCTCAGCGTGGAACCTGATGCAGGGCTTGATCCCATGACCCTGGGATTATGACCTGAGCCAAAATCAAGAGTTGGATGCTCAAATGACTGAGCTACCCAGGTGCCCCTGAATATAATAAACATTGATTCATATTCCCACGTTGTCTCTTCTTTTGCTAATTCTCCTCATAGGAATAAGATCAGGGCTTATTTGAATTCCTATGTTTTATATTTTAGGACCAGTGATAAAAGGAGAAACTTGGCCAAACAAAAAGCTGAGGCTCAAAGAAGGCTTTATGGCCAAAATTCAATAAAAAGGCTCTTACCAGGTTCCTCAGACTGGGAACAGCAGAGACATCAGTTAGAGAGGCGGAAAGAAGAGTTGGTATGAAAATTTTAACAACATACCCACAATTTGAATTGCATAATTCATTGGTCAGATTTTATTTGTAAAATGTCTTCATTTTTAGAAAGAGAGACTCGCTCAAGTACGAAAACAGATCTTAAAAGAAGAACATGAAAATCGACATATGGGGAATTATAGGTAACTGTGTTTCCATTTTCTTATAGATGGAAGAAGTAAAGTGTCAAAACAACTGTTCTACATTTTTTAACCTTTTAGACTTATTTTGAGCACTGTTTGTTTCATTCTTGCTAGCTAGCTTCCTGGATGTTTATATGAGGTCTTTTAAACCTGATACTATCCTGTGGCCTTATTTGCTTATAATGAAGTATTTTGAGAAAGTCAGGTTTCAGGTCTCCTAGTTTTCTTTCTGTCAGTTCAGAGTGATTGCTCTACTTTGGTTAAACTTAGATGTGTCAGGAACCAGGCAAATAGTGAAAATGTTTGAAGGAGGCAGGTGTGAGACGATCCAGAGGAGCGTGGACTGTGTCGAACTGGAACCCTTCCACGATATCCTTTGACAGGATAAAAGAGGATCCCCCCCCCCCTTTTTAAATTCCTTGTGTCCCTGGAAAGACTGCCCCACCTCCCAACCATTAACAGAATTAGGAGGATTTGGGGCCACAGAGCTTCTCACACTCTTAGTAAAACATTCTTTCCTGCCTTAACATCCTCAACAGCAACAATGACAACACATTCCTCTCATTCTACCTTTTACTCTGTTCTCTCCCTCAGAGAGGCAAATTCCACCACCCCAAAAGAGAACCTCAGGATTAATGCCTGCATTCTTGTATGTCAGTAGCCACACTATACATGCACAACTTCCAGATTATCGCTCATTACCTGCTCACTCTCATGAAGATCTGTATTCCTTCAATATGCCCAGTTGTAATTTTTATCCAACCACTTCCCCACAAAAACCCTTATGCTATGCCTTCGGGATCTTCATTGTTTAATGACCGTTCTCTAGATAAACTTTAATTTGCGTAGGTAAACAATGACAATTTGTGAATTTCTTATACCTGCGTTCATCGTTATTTCTAGCACCTAGTAAAATGACTGGCAGAGTAAGTGGTCAAAGAGTATCTATGTAACTGACCTTAACTCTTGTACTACGATAGCTTCTTTTAAACAAGTTGGTTTGTCTGATTTATTGTAGACGAATTTATCCTCCTGAAGATAAAACTCTGCTTGAAAAGTATGAAAATTTGTTGGCTGTTGCCTTTCAGACCTTCCTGTCAGGAAGAGCAGCTTCATTCCAGCGAGAGCTGAATAATCCTTTGAAAAGGATGAAGGTAAAGGAATGAATGTTTATAAAGAGAAAAATGAATGAAGCCAAACAATATGTTTTTAAAAACAACCCACCTTAGTCCCACATATAAAAACATTTTAGTTTTAAGAGGCATTTCCCTTCTATTTTAACCATTGGTAGCATTTCATAACCAACCAAGTGATTTAATAAATTAGATGTCTAACAGGACAAATTATGTAGCAGAGAATGTTGATATTATATTGTAATATCAATCTATTGTAACATGCCTTCTCACAGAGGCGTGTATATATAACTGAATAAAAAAAATCCATTGAATTAACCTAGTGGTTTGTGATGCTCTTGTTATTTGGATTGTAACTAACATTATACAGTATTTTTCCCTGATATACTGCATAGACCTGGCATATGGGAAGTAATTAAAACACACACACGCATACACACCGAGTAATCTGTTTACCAAAATGTCTATTGGTTTTCTTTTGTAGCATAATAAACCATTTATTTGCTCATATTCTGTACTCTTGGCTAGTGTCAGTTGAGTGGCTCTTTGTTTTGGCTTACTTGGAGTGAATCATATAGTTGCTTTTATCCGGAAGCTTACCTGGGCTGGAAATGCAGGAGGGTTTCACTCCTATGTCTGCTGCCTCAGTTAAGATAGGTGGAACATCTGGGGAGCTGGCTGGATGTTTCTTTCTCTCTACATGGTCTCTCAGCAGGGTACCTAGATCCCATAATATGGTAGCTTGGAGTTCTAAAAGGAAACATTTCAAGAGGATAAACCCAGTGTGCAAGTGCTAATCAAGCCACTGCTTGCATTGTGCTTGCTAATGTCCCATTGGATAAGTAAGTTTATGTGGACCTATTAAAACTGTTAGTACTTTATATTACTGTCATTTCATTACAGTGATAACCTCCATTGCTTGGATACACTGTTATATTGAGTGATTCAAAAGTCATGATAAAGTTTATTATAGATAGATTTTGCTATGGGCTTTTCACTCAAATTCTGCGACAGAAGGATATAAAGCCACTTTCAATCTGGCTACACCTAAAAGACAGAAGCATAAGGAATAATGTCTACTGCAATGTTCTTTTCCTCTAAAAGTGTTTCTTTTGACATACGCAGATGTTTCCACCATTAGAATTATATTCTGTGGCCCATTTGCTTTTCTTTTTTTTTTTTTTTTTT